CAAGTGTGTTTATGAGGTGGTCTTTGGTCTCTTTATGAATGTGTTGAAAGCTGATTTTTTTTAGGATCAGCCTTGAGTTAGTTTTGTTTGTGAGAAAACCCATTTCATTCTCGCAAATTACTCTTCCTTAAATGTTTACAAAAGAATAGAGTTAATGCAGACGTGGTCCAGTAGGGCATGGGGAACTTACCCCCCCCCCAACCACCATTTTGCCACAGAATTTTAACATTTCAGTGCCCCTGGTGAATAAATAAAATGTATCAAAAGATATTTATATATATTTATTTATTCAGGTATAAATATTCAGGTAAAAAAGATGATATTTACACACAAAAAGAATGAATAAACAGATGAAACCCAAACTATGGGACAATGCATATGCAGCAAATATTAAACAAGGCATTCAAATTTACACTAAATGTTTAGCGATTAATGACTTTTCATTATTTTTACATGTCACACTATCCATGCTTGGATAAGAAATTTATAGATCTATCCTGTGTGCATGTCAAGTTGGATTTTTGAAAATTATAAACCAAGAAAATGTACCTAGCTGGATACAATTTAATTTTTTTTTTGTCAGGTGTGGCTAGATGCTGCAGTGCAGATCTTCTATTCTTTGAGTGCAGCCTGGGGTGGCCTTCTCACTTTGGCGTCTTACAACAAGTTTCATAACAACTGTTTTTTGTGAGTCAATTTTCTGTTATAATTGTAATACAAGGCCTAAAACACGCTACTATTATAATGTCTCAATGTTATACAGCTTAATTACAAGGCTGTCAATTGCTAATAAAATATCCCGTAATTCATCCCTACATACATTTCTTGATGACGCTACAAAATTTAACTTGGATTATCATCAATACAGACTCATTATCTAGTCAGTCAGTAATCAAATCAATAATATGTAGTGTAATTAAAACACAAAGTTTTTATGCTTACGTTAAACATTTTTGAATATTATGTAGACTGTAATCATCATCAAAACTGTTTATTTCTGAATAGAACTTCATTTAACCAGTTTCAGTCTTTCATCCATTGTTTCAGAGTCATTCATTCAACAAGTAATTTATTCAATACACCATCCTCTGTGTGTATAGTATTATGACTTGTGTGGATCACATTTTCTTTCAGTGATTCCATGTTTGTTGCAATTGCTAATTGCTGTACAAGTGTCTTTGCTGGTTTTGTAATCTTCTCAATCATTGGCTACATGGCCAACCAATTAGGCAAACCTGTTGAAGAAGTGGTAGATCAAGGTAAAGTAAAAGTCATCTGAATAGGCTACATATCCACTTGATTTTATGGTCTAAATGGTCAGTTCATATTATGGTCTTTCTTGCTGCCTTGATCCACTTTGTGTCTTCTGCTAAATATTCATAATTTAAAGGTTGCTCAATAACAAGCAAATGTAGATGCAGAATGACCAATTTTTATATTAGTTCCGTAAAACCTCGAATTGAAGCCCTGGGCTTCTTTTTGTTTTTGGCAAACTTTGGATGGACTTCTTTTAGAGGTTACTTTTGCGAAGTAAAGAGGGGGGCTTCTTTTCAGAATGAATGCACTAAATTTTTGGAATTAGTACTATAAAACAATAAATAGGGCCACTGTAACATCAATCTGTATCATGGAGTGTATTAACCGGCATTAAATCACCTACAACTACTGTTATAAACCAAGCGTGTTTTTAATTTATTTTGTTTCTTTGAATTCATGTATCAGTGTATGTACTGTGGTATCTCAAAAAGAAGCCTTGCTATCTTCTTTCTGAGGCTAATTTTGCATACTGAAGAGGGGCTTCAATTCGAAATGGGCTTCTTCTCAAGATTAAGCCCATTGAGCTTCAATTCAAGGTTTTACTATATATTATTATTATACTATTGCTATATTTGTATGTTCCCCAAACCTAATGAACATGTACTGGGCACACACTACGTCTAACAATTGTCGACAACACATGATCCGCTCAGGCTCCCTCTGATGACCAGCATACAGCGTCGCATCAAGTGCTAACAGAGAGCAAAGATAGATCCATTGGCCGACGGTTGTATGACCATCGTAAGACGAAGTGTGTTCCTGGCTTAACACAATCCGACATTTTTCTGTAATACAAACTACAACATAGATTTATTCTGAACGTGTACAACTGGTTCACTTGAAATTGAATATAAACATTTTTTCAAAGAGTATTTTAAAATTTTGTAATTGTTTACTATTGTTTGTTGGCAGGATTTGGTCTGGCATTTATTGCATACCCAGAGGCAGTGGCCAGTCTACCAGGTGCTCCATTTTGGGCTATTCTCTTCTTTTTTATGCTTTTGACTCTTGGATTAGATAGTCAGGTAAGAAATTAATGTGCACAGATGTTTAGGCATACACCTAAATTATGGTGCTATATAATTATATACGATATATTACTATAATCAATGGAAGACTAATTGAGACATCAATGGAAAAAAATGTTATTACTTAAATTGCATCGCACTTTCCTGTTTCAGCTCTACATATTTACATTATAGTTAGTGTTTACTTTAATTGTTGATTTCTTAATAACAGAGCTAGGCCTATATATAAAAAAAAGCAATTATCTTGTATTTTGTTTTACCACCATAGTGTGCCATAATCGTAATTATTTATACATTGTTTTTGTTTTCCATCAGTTTGCTATTATGGAAACAATAGTAACATCAATCTGTGATGAGTTTCCTTATCTGCATAAGAAGAAGACTTATGTGTTAGGAATAGCTTGTGGAGTTGGATACTTCCTAGGATTCTCATGTATTACAGAAGTAAGAATCTTATTACAGACCAGGCCTAGTGTAGCCAGGTTCAGGGGAAGGGGGGTTTCCTATAGGCCAAGTTTAATTCAGAAGTGTTCTTTAATAAACAAAGTTATGATAAAATATTATGTCAGTGTTAAACTGGCCAAAAAAGGGGTTTAACCAAATTTTTAGTGTTGTTAGATTACATCTGGGCCTCAAACAAAATTATAAAGAAAGTCTTAAGTGTAAGAATAAACACTTTACAAATCAGAAGATTCCTGTGAAAACATCGAAACAAAATAATAGTGGTACCTCTATTCAGGGGACACAAACCAAAGTATAAAATTGTGCCCTTAATAGGGGTTTTGGTATGTTTTTATACAACAGTGACATACAGTCACGAAAAAGTCCTTAATAGGGGTGTCCCCTGAATGGGGTGTCTCAGAGTAGGGGTTCTAATGTATTACATTGGCCGTATATTTGTATCTTGGATAAAATGTCTATGATTACTGGAGCTCGTAGGAAACTGTGACAAATAATTTTGGGTCTCAAGGAGTGAACGGTTGCCGACTGTAGCTTTTAACATTCTTTTGAATTAATACATGTAATATGCTTTTTGATATTCAGGCTGGACCTTACTGGGTTTCTATGATGGATTCGTACGGTGCTAGTTTTGCCCTCCTTATGTTTGCTCTGTGTGAGTCCATTGCAATAAGTTGGATATATGGTTTGAAACGATTCATGAATGACATCCGCACGATGGTGGGAAACAAGATTGTGGATCACCCTCTGTTTATATGGTGGGGAATCAATTGGTGTACTATTACACCTGCTCTCCTAGCGGTAAGTAGGTGTTTCCAAATCTATTAATAATTAAACTATATTACGAATAATTTCTTTTTCTTTCTTTCTTTATTCTTTTTCTTTTTTGTACTTTCCAAAAGTGGAGGGGGGGGGGCTGTGGAGATCTTGCTCACCCCACCCCCAAATTTTCCCCTGTCTTTGGTAGTACTAGTATATGTGGTAATGTGACACTCAGCTACTTAACTGTATTTTGATGTTTATATTTTAGGTCATAATATTCTTCCTTTTATGTACAAAATTTTATAATTTTGCCTGTACATGTTTCTTGTATTAAGGTTATTCCACTTGTAAGCCAGAATTTTTGCTGGTCTTTGCTTTGAGAATGTCATTAAAGTTTAAATTTTCCAGACAAAAAAACATTATAATTTTTATGTCCCAAAATTTGTACCAGTTCTTTGAGACAAGTACGGCCAACTCTAGCATTTGAATGCATGCCAACTGTTGAGAGCCTCAACTTGTGCTACAGCAGTTTGGGATTTTAGGGGAAAATTGAAGTTACACACAAAGTTCACTACAGAAGTGGACCAATATAGGGTCCCTGAAGACAAATTTTCCAACATTATAGAAATTTGAGTCATATTGTTTGATTTGAGATTTATGAAGAAAAGACACCATCCTACAAAAAAATCTTTTCTTTTTTTGAAAATATATGAAATATACATTATATTGCATACAGAATTATTAAATAATAATTGAATAAATTGTAATAGATATGAAATATACTGTATGCCCATTAATTTTCATTATTGTCACATGGTAGCCAGTCAGATTTTCTACCTTTTGCTATTTTCATATTTTCTATTTTCTTTTTTGTGTTTTATAGGTTAATAATTGTTATTCTTTTGTATGGACATGAAATTCTGAAATAAAAGATGAATATATGAAATCAGTTCATCAATTTATCAAAACCTTAAATGCTTTTTGTCATAGTTTATCATCGTTTTTAACTGGATGAGTTGGACGGAGCCAACGTACAATGGTGACTACCCTGGCTGGGCAAATGGCATTGGCTGGTGCATGATTATCAGCTCCATCATGTGGATACCTATCATTTGGATTTATGAGTTATTTAGAGGAAGTGGGACTGTTCTAGAGGTATGTATCATAATCATTTATAAAGCTATTTCTGTCATGTAATTTGATTTATGATCTATACATAATAATTTACTTAAAAAATCATATAGAATGAAGACAAGTGATCCAATGTAATTGATTTTATTTAATTCTTTTGATGCCATCAATTACAGCGCTTGCAACAGATGACCTCTCCCAGAGCTAACTGGGGTCCTGCTTTGCAACACCATCGAGATGAAGCATGGGCAGTTCATAAATCACATAATACCACAATGGGCGGTCTTCTCAAAGTTGATGGTATTCCATTATACGCTGACCAATCTGGATTATTTGCACGATTCATAAAAGATGGCAACAAGCCAGGATTTAATGGCGGTTATGGAAACCAGCCAGGAAATGGTAGTGTGGACAATATTCAGTTTGTAGACGATGAACAGGATCAAGGAAACCCACGTAGTGAAGGCTCCGTTCAGTTTGTGTATGAACCTAGAAGTTACAATGCCAATGTGTCGCAATATGCGGACGGAAGTTTTGAAGGCTCCAGAGATGGACTTGATCTGCAAAAATCTGAACGTGATGCTCCATCCATAGACAATATGATGTATTATAATTATCAGGGTTCTAGATCACCATCACACCATGAATCCAGAGATAATTTAGACCATGTGACCGCATATCCTGCATCCCGCGGGTCTAAAACTCCTTCTTATCAAGGGTCTCAGGATATGATTAATGGAGGCTATTCTTTAGCTCATAGACTTCCTCCTGATTCTGGACCTTCATCTCATTATGGGTCTAGGGATTACATACCAAAAGACCCACCAACATCTCATCCACCCCCTCGCCGTACTGGCCCACCCTCGCGTCATGGTTCAAGAGATGTTTTAAACAAAGATTCGGTAGCATCGTTTCCACCTCCCCCAGGCTCTTATTATGGCTCAGATAGCTCATTGAACCAGGATGATCCTCCTGTGTATCCTGGTCCTCGTGGCTCCAACCCACCCTCTTTACATGGTTCTCGTGATGTCCTTAATCATAATTATCAGAAACCTCTTAGCTCCGGACCTCCATCTCGTCATGGTTCTCGTGATGTCCTTAATCAGAATTATCAGAAACCACTTAGCTCTGGACCTCCATCTCGACATGGTTCTCGCGATGTCCTTAATCAGAATCATCAGAAACCACTTAGCTCCGGACCTCCATCTCGACATGGTTCTCGTGATGTCCTGAACCAGCAGCCGCTTGGATCTGGCCCTCCCTCACGCCATGGTTCTCGTGATATCTTGAACCATTACCCCTCATCAAATTTAGCATTGCGTGGCTCTGGACCACCATCCCTTCGCAGCTCTCATGATCAAATTAATTTAGATTATATGCCTCGTAATGCTTCCCTCTCATCACGTCAAAGCTCGGTGGAGCATGTGAACGCCGGCTTTGAGGCATCGCCTATGGTGAGGAGACCACCTGCAAATCAGCTGCCCTCCTCTAAAAAGGAAAAAGACAAGAAAGGACGATGGTCTGTGAAAAAATCCAAGAAAGCTGGTCGATTACCTCCTCAATTTGATAGCCCCATGGAGTTGGACTTCGAAAGTGATTGTTGAGACACATCATATTTATCACAAGTTTTCTTGCCTTTAAATAAATAATTTTTGAATTTACTGAAATTTATACTTCTGGCTGAAGATATATTTGAAGATTTTTTAAAAGCATGTTAAAAATTGTATATTTTTTTGCCTAAAACAATACATCAACTTAAATATTTTTTATTATTGTTTTTGCCTACTCTGATGAC